GTGTATCCCAGGATTTTCCCTGCAGCCTCAGTGGTGATTCCCTGCCTGCAGCACACGCTGCCCATGGATTATTCAGGTTTTTATCCTGCCCATGGATTATACAGGGTTTTATCCTGCCCATGAATGAAGCAGGTTTTTATCCTGGCATGGATGATGCAGGTTTTTATCCTGCCCATGGATGATGCAGGTTTTTATCCTGCCCATGGATTATTCAGGTTTTTATCCTGCCCATGGGTTATTCAGGTTTTTATCCTGCCCATGGGTTATACAGGTTTTTATCCTGCCCATGGATTATTCAGGTTTTTATACTGCCCATGGATGAAGTAGGTTTTTATCCTGCCCATGGATGATGCAGGTTATGGAGAATGCAGGTTTTTATCCTGCCTATGGAGAATGCAGGGTTTTATCCTGCCCATGAATGATGCAGGTTTTTATGCTGCCCATGGATTATTCAGGTTTTTATCCTGCCCATGGATTATTCAGGTTTGTATCCTGCCCATGGGTTATTCAGGTTTTTATCCTGCCCATGAATGAAGCAGGTTTTTACCCTGCCCATGGATGATGCAGGTTTTTATCCTGCCCATGAATGATGCAGGTTTTTATGCTGCCCACGGATTATTCAGGTTTTTATCCTGCCCATGAATGAAGCAGGTTTGTATCCTGTCCATGGGTTATTCAGGTTTTTATCCTGTCCATGGATGATGCAGGTTTTTATCCTGCCCATGGGTTATGGAGGTTTTTATCCTGCCCATGGGTTATACAGGGTTTTATCCTGCTCATGGAGAATGCAGGTTTTTATCCTGCCCATGGATGATGCAGGTTTTTATCCGGGCATAAATGATGCAGGTTTTTATCCTGCCCATGGATTATTCAGGTTTTTATCCTGCCCATGAGTGATGCAGGTTTGTATCCTGCCCATGGATTATTCAGGTTTGTATCCTGCCCATGGATTATTCAGGTTTTTATCCTGCCCATGAATGAAGCAGGTTTTTATCCAGGCATAAATGATGCAGGTTTTTATCCTGCCGATGGGTTATTCAGGTTTTTATCCTGTCCATGAAGGATGCAGGTTTTTATCCTGCCCAGGAATGATGCAGGTTTGTATCCTGCCCATGGATTATTCAGGTTTTTATCCTGCCCATGAGTGATGCAGGTTTTTATCCTGCCCATGGGTTATGGAGGTTTGTATCCTGCCCATGAAGGATGCAGGTTTTTATCCTGCCCATGGGTTATTCAGGTTTTTATGCTGCCCATGGAGAATGCAGGTTTTTGTCCTGCCCATGGATTATACAGGGTATTATCCTGCCCATGGGTTATGGAGGTTTGTATCCTGCCCATGAAGGATGCAGGTTTTTATCCTGCCCATGCGTTATTCAGGTTTTTATCCTGCCCATGGGTTATGGAGGTTTTTATCCTGCCCATGGGTTATTCAAGTTTTTATCCTGGCCATGGATGATGCAGGTTTTTATCCTGCCCATGGGTTATGGAGGTTTTTATCCTGCCCATGGATGATGCAAGAATTATTTTCTGGGTTACAGGGTGTGTGTTGACAAGGTGTCAGCCTGGATTCATAATCAAGATGCCAGGGAAGATAGAGCAGCTGCCCCATGAGGATTTGTTATCCTGTCCATAATCTGATCACTGAGTTATTACAATTCCTAGAAATTGAATTCTGGCAATTCCAGCCTGTCACTCAAGCACCCTGATAGCCCAGCTCTCCTGGTGGGGTTTGAGGTGGCTCCTTTTCCACAAAATTCCACCTGGGAATTCTGCAGCAGTTTGTCCTTGCTCTGCTGCTCTCTTAAGATTTCATTCTCCTTTTTAGTGATTCAGGATTTAAAAATGACTTTTTTCTAAACTCCTACAGTGTTATAGTTCCTCTTCTTTTGAGAAGAAAAAAAAAACCAAGAACCTCTAAAGGTTATAATGAGTGATTTTAACACTAATATGAAGTGACAATTCTTGCAAAGGCTTGATGATTTTATGTCAATAAAAGCACAAGCCTAAAGCCATTTATTTATGATTGATTATAGCACTGATGAATAGAGTAACACATAATATCTTCTGGAATAATTTTGTTTCCAGTAGATTGATTTTCTGAGAACTCTTTATTCTTCTGTTCATCCTGACCTTTTTAAATAAATACCTTCCTTTCTAGGCTAGGTGGAAAAAGCTGTTCACACCAGATGCCATCCACACTGCACAGCCAGTTTATTCTTTAGTAAACCCTCATTTATACAGCCTGATTTCTTTTCCACATAAGAATATTCCTGTTTCTCAGGGATTTGAAGCTAACTCTGAAAATGGCAAATCATCCTCAATCCTCTTTAACCAGTGGCTTTGGTGCTACCTGGATATTATTTAATAATAATTTTTTTATAACAAACCAAGCACATAGGATGATGTGCAACTGCAGAACGTCCTCAGCAGTCACAAATCACTCTCTATAAAGAAATTTCCTTTCTGCCTCTTTCTAGTTCTGCACAATTTGTGTCTCCTTGCATTGAGCAAAATGCACATCACCAGCCCTGACACCTGGAGAGTTCTGCTTTATTGAGCAATAACTTCATGTCAAACCAGCTGCCAGAACTCCAAGTTTGCCCAATTCTCATGGAATTGTGGAGGTTCCCTTGGGATGGGCTCTGTCAGTCCACCCAATACCTAAATGAAAATGTCATTTTACCACAGAATTTTTTTTTTACCACAGAATTCCTCCATTCTCCAGCCTCTCTAGGGCTATAAAAGAGGTCAAATATTGTACAGAGAGATGCATTTAAATCACATTAATATTGCTAAGCAGAGATTAATTAAGACACCACAATTATGAAGAAATTAAGTTTAATGGTAAGGACTTGATGAGGGATTTGTTTTAACAAAACCACTTTAAAATAAGCATAGTCCTTAATAATCCACCATTAAGCATCTTCCTCAGTGCAACATCCACACAGATTTTAAATACAGAGCTCTAAGTCAGTAAGAAAAATATTGCTCTCATTTAGGGCTCTGCACAGGAATAAATGTAGATGGAGAATGAGCAGCAGCTCTGCAGTAATAGTCTGGAAATAAAAATAAGTAGAGAGCCAAGAATGAGAGAATTGATTCAAAATTAGGAAAACTCTCTCTGCTTCAGCATCAAAGATCATTTTCCTCTCTGAAACCAATGCTAAGGCCCAGCTCTTGTGGATTTCTGACAGGATGGGTTTTGTTTCCTTGTTTGAGGAAGCTCTGGGGGCTTGCAGGGTTCAGTAGCACTGAAACCTCATCAGCAAAAAATTCAGACAGACAATTCCATTCCCAGATTCAGTGCAGTAATTGAGTAAACTCTGCTGGAAATTGAAAAGCTTCAGGAGAGACACTGATTGAAGTGATATCTGGCAGTTTTGCATTTGACAATCAAGTTACACCAGAGGACTAAACAAAGCAAGATACCTCCATGATCTATATCTGTATTTATAACATTTTCAGCAGCTCTGTAATATTAATCCCAGTTTTGAAATTCAGGCCGTGATCACTCTTGTTTTGCCTGCACCGACAGGCATCCTAAGGAATCCTAGAAATTCAGATTTCTTTTTTTTTTTTCTGATGATTTTTCAGCCAGATAAAAACTCATTCTTGCTCTTCCCAAGCCTCACAGAAATTCTTACTCCAAAGTGCTGGAGGCTGTAGGAAATGCAGTATCTTGTCTCCTTGGAGACCATAAAAGAGCTGTTTGTGAGAGCTGAGCACACCCCACAAATGACAGGCCAGAGCCCAACTGTGTAAATCCTTCCAAAAACTTTTACTCATTCTGCTGGGAACAAAACTGTAGGGTGAAAAAAATGATCCCTGTTCATAACAAGATGTGTGCAGTTATACCAACACTTTTCATTTTTGAAGACTTTCCTGTATTTTTACAATTTTGGAAGTTTTCTCTGTGGCTTCAGGTCAGATGCAGCGTTCTCTTGGGGGTCAGTGTTGTTAGCACAGAAAGTCTGAAATTCTCAGTGGTTTTATCAGATTTCTGACAGAGAGCCTCACTCATTGCTGTTCTTTATTGTTCAGGTACATCACCGTGCACACAACAGAAGCCATGAATTCCAGAAAATTCCCCTCAGAAGCACGGAGAGCTTTCCCTGCTGCCAAGTGCCCCAGCCAGCAGCCATCCCACGTGCTGGTGGTGGATGCCACCTGCCCGGGCTGGGCCAGCACCTGCTCCGTGCTCTCCGAGGCTCTGGAGAACGTCCTGTGCCTGGCCTGCGGCCTGGCAGGGCCCTGCAGGATGCCCCTGCTCAGCCTCTACGTGGTGCAGCCCCAGCAGGAGTGCCTGCTGCCCTTCACGGTATGCTGGGGAAAAAATAATTCCTTCTAAATTCATATCTAAAAATCTGTATGGAAATTCACGTCTTCAAAATCGGCCGTTCTCAGAGCGATCGTTTCGCCGTGAGGTGAATTTCGTGAAATGTTATAAATTTCATCAAGCTGAAAAGGAGCAGGGTCATTTTGGATCTATCAACCTGATCAATTCAGTTTTGTGCTCTTCCTTCCTAAAACATCTGGTTTGGAGTATCTGTTGCACCTTTTGTGGGCTGCTTTGTGCTGTGCTGCTTCTCTGTCAGAATTATCACACACAGCTCGAGCTGGACAAATATTACCAATGTGTGAGAGGTTCTAGACATTGAAGGTGAAATGTGCAGAATTTTAAAAAAAATTAAAAAAAAAAAAAAATCTATGCTGAATATATTACCAGTAAGTGAGAGGTTCGAGATATTGAAGGGGAAAAGGGGCAGAATAAAAAAAAACATTATACATACATATATATATGTATCTGTATATATACATATATATATGTATATGTATAAATATAATCATGTATGTATGTATATATACATACATGATTATATTTATCATGTATATATAAACATACATGATTGTATTTATATATATAAACATTATATTACATTACATTACATTACATTACATTATATTACATTATATTATATATAAAAATATATATTATAATTATATCTATATTATATATTGTATATTATATATTGTATATTATATATTGTATATTATATAGTATATAGTATATAGTATATAGTATATAGTATATAGTATATATATAATTATATATTATAATTATATATGATCTGTGCTGAATATATTACCAGTATGTGAGAGGTTCTAGATATTGAAATGGAAAGGGGCATAATTAATATTTATTTATTTATTTATTTGTTTATGTCTGTGCTGAATATCTATCTATCTAAATAAATAAATAAATAAATAAATACATATATAATATATCTGTGCTGAATTTGAGAAACTTCCAGATGATTCTGTGATTTCAGGGAAACTCCTGTAAGATTAAATCCAATTCTAAACCCAGCATTTGCAAATCTACCAGTATTAACCATGTTCCTAAGTGCCACATTTTATATATAGAGCTCTAAGTCAGTAAGAACACATAGAACAAATCTTGCTTTCAGAATCATCTAGAAAAGTCCTCTAAGACTAAATCCAATTCTAAACCCAGCACTGCCAAATCCACCACTTAACCATGTTCCTAAGTGCCACATCCACACAGATTTTAAATATGGAGACCTAAGAACAAATATTGCTCTCATTTAGGGCTCTGCACATAAATAAATGTAGATGGAGAGTGAGCAGCAGCTCTGCAGTAATAGTTTGGAAATACAAATATGCATCTTAAAGTTCACAAGAATTTTTGAAATCATCCTGTTAGAAATAATCACACTGAGCACTGCCATTTACACAGCATCAGTGTAAACACACCCCTCCACTTTATGGTGGAAACATTCTGAAGAGTTTTGTCAAGACTTCACGTCTTGAGGAAAATAAAAAGCCAGAGGTCCAGAGTAAATTAGCAAATGTGATCTGCAAGAAGACTCTGGCTAATGGGGGTGTTTGTTTGGTAGGAAAGGTTATAGATAATGTGACAAGGATAATCTTGTGACTGCTGCTGCTATCAGCTGTCTTTTTTATTTAAACAACAATTCCTCATTTCCATAGTCACAGTTTTTAAAGGCAGAGGAACCCTTAGATCACTGTTTTGTATGTTCACATCACAGATTATTATATTTCCCTAAAGTACCCCTATTTCATTAAAACTTCCTTCCAGAAAGCCATCTAGTTTTGTTCTGAAGACAAGATGGGTAATCAAGTACTTCTCTTGAGAATTTCATCCAGTGGTTAATAACTGTCATTGTGAAACCTGTACCTGGTTCCTAATTTGCATTTTATTTGCTTTATCCTCCAGGGATTTCTTAATATTGAAGAACATGCTTTTATTTTATCCTTTGAGTAGGTTCCTTCTCTGTTCTGGCTGGTAAATCAAGAACAAATGATAGGTTAAACTGTAAAACATTTTTACAATGATTTTAATAATTCCCAAGCCATTCTTTGTATTCACTCAGCTGATTTTTGGGTGCTACATTCCAATAGCAGACATCAGCTGCTGTACTGAAGCTGTTCCTCAGAGCTATGTTAGACAAATCATGAAGTCAGGAAAACCCCAAAACTGAAAATAGAGATGGGGAGAGTACATGGGGAAGTGTCACACACACTTACCCTGGGTTTAACCTTTCCTCTGTGCTTGTTTCTGGTCTCTGTTCCCACTGCAGCAGAGTCCATAAAGCCTCCCTGGAAAGGGCAGGGAGGGCAAAGAAAGAGAAGCCAGAATGAAAGTGGATAACTCTGGGGGAGAATAAATGGTGGCAAGATAAAAAAATCAGCACTGAAGCATCAAAAAATTGAATGTGGCACTGAGTAAGGACTGAGCAGAGCCTTTGCAGCTTCCCACTCAGTCCCACTCACAGCCCACCCTGCAAACCAGGGCTCAGGGCTGCTTCAGTGACCCAGAGCTCCTCACACCTGAAGGAAAATGAGCCAAATGTTCACCTGCTGCCTCTTCAGTGGGGAAGGTGACCTCTGGCAGCAGTCTTGTACTGCTTTAAATAAATTAATATTAATTTAAATAAATAAAAAAATAAAATTTAATTCAAATAAATAAATTTTGTAGAGTTCACTCAGTATCTTTCCTGTGGCCACAATGTACCAGTTTAGCTGCTGAGTTCTTGGTGAGGCTCAGGTGAGTTGACTTCTCTGTGACCACCAGCCTTCCTCCACATTATGCAGAGGCATTTCATGTTGTTTTATTATTTATAGAGGTATTTTATGTTGTTTTATTTTATGTTTATTTTTATGTTGTTGACACCAGGTGTCTTGGTTTGAAAAGCCAGGTGTCTGCTAAGGAAGACAGGAGCCTTCCTTGAAATGATAAATGTAAACCCCCTCCTCCAAATTATTATAATTTTGAAATTAAGAAGCGCTCAGGCAAAGATATGGGAGTAGGAATAATGGCTCTTTACTAGGAAAATTAAAAATACAAATGCAATAGTACAAACAAAATAAAACAAACCACTGACAGAGAGAGAA